GAAGTGGTGGCTCATGACTTTTAATCCCAGCCCTCAGGAGGCAGCCAGGAGGTTTTCTGTGTGGCTAGCCTGGTCTACAGAGTGAGTGTCAGGACATCCAGGGCTACACAGAGAAACCCTGTCTTAGAAAAAAAAAAAAAGTAAAAAGAAAAGAAACAGGCTGAGCAAGCCAGTAAACAGCTCCACTCCATGACCCCTGCACCATTTCCTGTCTCCAGGTTTCTGATCTACTTGAGTTCCTGCCTGTATTGCTTGCGGCAATGAACTATCATATGGAAGTATGAGTGAAATAAATACTTTTCTTCCCAAGTGGCTTTTGGTCATGATGTTTCATCACAGCAATAGTAACCCTAATTAAGACACTTTCTAAACCTCCAGAAACAGCAAGCATGTGGGGAACAAAGAATTCAAATGCCTGATTTTATGGAGACATTTCTCAATCAAGCCATCTTACCTCAGTATACATGGGCACCTATACTCCTTGAATACATGTGGATGAATAGTTCTGGGTACAAAAATAATGGATATTATGCAATGTGTATTTCTGGAAAGTTACAAAATAGACCAGTAAAAGCAAAAAGGGAGAGGTATTGGGCAACTAGAAAAGATATTTCCTTAAATAGATTACCAAGTCATAACATGTAAATAAGCAAGTAGATTCCTCACTCCTGGTCTTAGAGAATAAAGTTTATGACTCACAAGTGCTCTACTATTGAGTTATATTCCCAGCACTCTTTATTACATTAAAATTTATTTTATATTTTTGTTATGTATGTACACTTACAGAAATGCATGCCACACTTTGGTTTTGGTTTTATTTGAGACAGGTTTTTACTATGTAGCTTTGGCTGTACTGGAACTCACTACTACGTAGACCAGGCTGGCCTTGAACTCACAGAGATCTGTCTACCTCTGTCTCCTGAGTACTGGGAAATAAAAGCTTGTGACGCTACACCAGGCCCTACACATTGTAAGTGTGAAGGTCAGAGGATAACTGGAAGGACCGGGTTCTAGCTTTCTTCTTCCACCATGTGGGTCCCAGGGATCAAACTCAGATCATTCAGCTTGGAGGCAAGAATCTTTATTCAATAAGTCAGCTCACATAGCCCAACTTTTAAGAAAGAATCTCATGTGGCCCAAGCTGGCCTTGAACTCACTATATAGCCAAGTCTGATTTTAAACTGCCAACCCTCCTTTCTCCATCTCTGGAGTACTGATATTATAGGCACGTATCACATTTATATGTCGCTGGGAATTAAATCCAGGATGCTACATTCCCAGTGCACCTATAGCTGCCCTGGTGACAGGACAGACTGTCATGGTATCACAGCACTTGTGTTCAAGAAACCTTTATTTTACTTAACAGTGGTCCCAAGCCACAATAGTAGTTATTGATGCTGGCTGTATTTGGTATTTCATACCTCTGTGGTCACTGTGGTTGAAAGAACAACATGAAGAAAGGCTCATGCTTTCAGAGGGTCCAGTCTACCATGGCAGAGAAGGCATGCTGAAGCAGTTCATATCAAGGTGGTCAGGAAAGGAGAAGAAGAGAGGGGACTGGACACTTGGTATAACCTCCAAAGCCTAATAATAATAATAATAATAATAATAATAATAATAATAATAATAATAGTAATAATAAAGCATGCCTGTTGAAGATCTAAAACAAAAGAGAAGTGGTTTGTGTAGTAGACTATGGATGACAGAGTTGACTATCTGCTACCTGACTCTTCTGGGAAGTTCACCTCAGTTAGGGCTGCAGGTCACTGAGATCAGTAGCTACCAAACATACTCCTGGCATAGGCCCCAAAGAAATAGGAAGCTAATTTTTTTTAAAGATTTATTTATTTATTATGTGTACAGAATTCTGTCTGCATGTATACCTGCACGACAGAATAGGAAACCAGATCTCATTATAGATGGTTGTGAGCCACCATGTGGTTGCTGGGAACTGAACTCAGCAGTCAGTGGAAGAACAGTCAGTGCTCTTAACCTCTGAGCCATCTCTCCAGCACCAGTAAGCTAATTTTTAAAGATGTATTTTTAAAATTTTTGTATACCTATGTGTGTCTGTGCATATGTGTTCAAAGTGTCCTAAATCCAGAAGAAGGTATCAGAGCTCCTCGAGTGAAAGTTACTGTTGATTGTGATCCAACAATTGTGGGTGCTAGGAAATGAATTCAGGTCCTCTGCAAGAGCAGTAAGTGCTATTAACCAGCTCCATGGAAGCTTTCTTCCTCCTTAAATAACATCTCATACAGCCAGAGGTGGTGGCACACACCTTTAGTCCCAGTGCTTCGGAGGCAGAGGCAGGTGGATCTCTTGTGGGTTTGAGGCCAGCCTGGTCTACAGAGGTAGTTCTAGGACAGCCAGGGCTACAAAAAGAAATGTGCATGCATGTGAGCGTGGAGGTCAGAAGACAATTTTTAGGAGTTTTCTGTTTTCACCATGGGCCTGTTCAGCAAGCATGTTTGTTCACTGAGAAATCTTACCCAGAAAGAGAGCTATTTGCTGTTGTTTGTTCTTACTGTTGTCACTAGCATAAACAAGGCCCTGGGTTTGATGCTCAGAACTACATAAACTAGGTGATGCACACTTGTAATCCCAGCAGTAGGGAGTTGGAGGCAAGTGGATTAGGAGTTCAAAGTCATCCTTGTCTACACAGCAAGTTCAAGACCATCCTGGGATAACATAAAACCTAGCTCTTCCAGATAATCTGAGTTCAGGTCTTAGCACCCACACAATGGCTCACAACCATCTGTTAATGTGCAGAGTGTCTGATGCTCCCTTCTGTCCTCTCAAGAGATGCGCGTGTCGCACATAAATGCATACACACATTTGAATAAAGAAATTTTAATTGAATCATAAGAGAGGAAAAGACTTGTTAGTCTAGAAATAAAACTTACATAGTAGGTGTTAGAAGTTGTGAGAATGAAAACCACCTCATAGTTGTATCTCATTAACTCTCCAGTAACTATCTCTACAGGAGGGATTTATGTCATGTGGTAGAACAGATGGCTGCTTGGTGTCTCTTGGTCAACCTTTCTTTAGATACCGCAGGGCTTGCTTGGTGAGCTCCTAAGCAAAGATGGCTATGGGGGACCATAATGGATTTAGCTCACCAACCTTAGCAGCCACACCTTCAACGGATGTCCACCTTGCTGACGGCAGCATCACTTGCTGAGCTCCCAAGGAAGCACAGTGTACTAGAAAGGCCAGCCAAATGCCCAGTCTGCTGAGGATTACATTGGACCTCTTCCATCATGGGTTGGGCAATAAGTTTTTCCTCCATGGAATAAGTAACTCTGTGCTTGTTATTTGCTTTCCTCGCCCTTTACACCCCGGCCAAAAGCAGCCTGTGTGTGCACAATGAATGGCTCTATTCACCATTCACCACCATGTTAAACAACACAGTTCTGCTGCTGCTCAAAAGAGTCAGTTTATTTGGAGGTTGGTATGAGTTGGGCAGGGGATCTTACATGTACAGAAACACTCTTAAAGCAGCTGGCCTCCTAGAACACTCTGAGCAGCTAGCCTGTTGGAAAGGAGGTAACAGTGACAGGTTGGAGATGTTTGGGTGGGGGTTCTGTCCTAAAAGATGGGTAAGCACTAAACTAATAGCACATACACGATTCCAGATTACACAGACATGGGAACCCATGGGTGACATTTCTCCAAAGTCACACCCTGTGACTCACTCTTCAAATGTTTGGACACTGGGCTTGGGAAAGGTCTCGGTGGTACAGCCCTCACCTGGTATGCTGGAGGCTGGGGATTCCATCTTCAGCACACACGTTTAAACACCCCAGATGCCTGTGTTTTCTTCATGCTACCCTGAACACTGAGGTGCTTTGAGTTTTGTTTGCTTTACATTTATGTGCATATGTGGGGCAGGTGGGTGAATGGGTGGGTGGTGGTGGTGGTGGAACTTGTACCACAGTGGACCTGTGTCAGTCAGAAGAAAGCTTTTGGGAATCAGTTCTCTACCACATGGGTCCTAGAATGGAACTCATGTCATCAGGCTTGGCTTGACCCATCTCAGTACCTAAATAGGACACAGCATGGTAAGTTGTGTAAGTCAAGACCTCTGTAGACCACTTGATCTGTCTCCAACTCCGTGCTGGTAGTGGTGGTGACTGACAGGTAGAAGGGGGAGAGAGATGTTGCTAAACCTGAATTCTTGGGGCTAAGCTAAGGAGGCTTGCAAATAGAATCTGTGGGAAACCCAACCTGTTATTTATAAGCTATAGGCTTACATGAGGGCGCGATTGCTCGTGAATGTGTGTGCGTTTGTGTGTGTATCTGTGAAAATGTCTGATGCTAGAAATATGAAAATGATTCCTTAGGGGGCTGAAGAGATGGCTCAGCAGTTAAGAGCACTTGTTCTTGCAGCAGGACCAGGGTTCAATTCCTAACACGCACAAGGTAGCTCACAACCAAGTGAAACTTCAGTTCTAAGGGCTGATTTCCTCCTACAACCTCTGAGGAAACCAGGCACGAACGTGTTATACATACATACATGAAGGCAAAGCATTCAGACACATAAAAATAAATAACTCTAAAAAACAAAAGTAGGGCGTGGAGAAACCCCGTTTGGGGTGGGGGGAAACAAGACAAAACGCAAAAACCAAACCAAAACAAACACCAAGTTAAAACGAAAACCATGCTTCCCATAAGCCAACAAACCAAACCTGATGACCTGAGCTTGATTCCCTCTAGGGTGAGGGTTGGGGGCTCATCCCACAACGTGGAAGAAGAAAGCTGACTCCCACAAGTTGTCCTTTGACTTCCCCATTTGCATTCTCACACATAAAGTAAGTAAATGTGTGTGTATTTAAACTGAACCCCTCCTTTTCTCAGGGCATAGGATGATAAAGAGGGTCTGTTTCCGTGTATCTTCCCAAGAATGCAAAGTTAGAGAGCAGGAAGAAGCTCTTTACCTACCCCTTCTCTCTACCTAGGTCCCCACCCCCACTTCGGCAAAGCATTAAGCAAGCGCCCAGGTCCCCTCTCCAGCTCCTCCCTCCTCCGTAGGCCACGGAGCTGGCTGTTTTGAGCTCCTGGACCCCTTCGGACCCCTCACTTCGCGACGCTCGCGGCTTCCTCTCCTGGGCTGAGCCTCTAAGCCTTTCAAGTCCTCCTAGAAGGTTACCCGAAGAAGCCGCGGGGAAAAGCCTGGAGTCGGCAGCCGCCACTAGGCCCCGCCCAGCAGCAGCGGAGCAGGGCCGCGCCCGGGACCGCTGCAGAGCGGGGTGAGTGAGTGCCGCCAGGAGGGAGGGAGCCAGGTGTCCCGGGTCCCTGCCCTGCCCAGGGGGCCAGCATCGCAACCTTCCGCCCCCTCTAGCTTCGTGACCTTCAGCTCCCTTTCCCCTTTGGCTCAGTCCAGGCCTCAGATTCGACCACTGGGGGGATGGGGTGGGGGAGAAGCCCAACCCTGCATCTTTTCCCTGCCTCCCCCCCCCCCCACCTTTCCGGCACAACGGAGGCCACCAAATCCTTTCCATGAGGTAGAACCCAGAATACAGAGCTCCGGGCCTCAGTCCCGTCTCATAAAGATTCTGAGCCCCTCCCTTTGTCCTGAAGGCTGGAATGCAGGCCAAAAATAGCTCTCCTTTCTAGACCCAGAAGACTCGGCAAACATTCTACCACATATGTTTTTAAAAAAACAGTCTGATCGCTCAAAAATCTGGGACCCCCAAGTTTCCAGGAATAGCGACTATCATTCATCATCCTTTCGCCCCCGGCTGACAGTGATCTTCTGAGACGTGGCTCAGCAGTCGTCACGGCGCCATTACAGTGTAATTGGAGACATGGCACACTCACCTCTACGAAGACCCTCAAGCACACGAATCTAGTCTTTTTTCTTTGGGTGAGGGGCCTTGCTAGTCAAGACGGCTTGCTCAGAACTCCTAAAAGCTCAAGGCCTGGCACCCTACATCCTTTTCTTCTCAGGTAGCCAAGACTCTAGCCCACAGACTCCGTTAAACTGAGGGATCTGTCTCCCAGTCTGCTGGAACCTAGATTTCTTTTATTCGGTCAGCGTGGAGTGACCAGATAGACAAGGACGGGGACACAGAGAGGAATAATTGAATGAGGGGTGGGGGTAAGACTAGGCATGGGGACCCAAGCTGGGGTGGGGGTAGGGGACTCCATCTAAAACAAACCGTAAACACACACGTATCTATGGCGACAGCATTCTCGGGTCTACCCTGGAGATTTCTTTCTAGAGCTATGTCTGGGAGGATAGCCCCCGGGAGCCCCTACGCCTCCAGCTGCTGTGTTTTCCTGTTTTGTCTCCACGGTAACGGTGACCTCAGCCCTGCACCCCCTCACTGGTAGGGCCGGAGACGCACTAGTCTTTTGGGGGGCGTGGTAGACATTAGCCCCGCCTTGGGGGCCGACCGGGAATAGCCTGAACTGAGGGAAAGCACCTTTTCACCGCCCCAGCCAGGCCCAAACCCCGCCCTCAGCCCCGCCCTCGCACGCTCCTCAGCGGGCCAACTCCACCCAGCCCCAAGACCCTTCTGGTATGCAGCTGTTGTCCTTGTTTGTGCTGCGGACGCCACTGGCTGGAGAGGTGAGGCTGGAGGGATCCCGGAGGGAAGGAATAGTCCTTGGGTCTAGAAAGGGGAGTGCGCACGGATTCAGATGTCTGGGTTCCTAGAAACACTCCAGTTGGGCCAGGACTGGAGCTCTAGAAAGAAGGAATTGAACATCTAAGTTCATACAGGTCGTACATGGGAAAGAGCAGGGACTGAGGAGTGGGCACGTGTGGTTTAGACCCTGAGGCTGAGAGAGGTGGGATGGGATCTAAACTCCTATGTTTGGTCTGGTATCCGGACTTAGCTGGGTCTTCGGGGATGAGGCTGGATTCGGGCCTTAACCCGGAGGAGGGCGGGGGTCTGGATTTGTTTTGAGGGAGAAGGGACTGGTGTCTGAACTTGGGCTGAAGGAGGGAGGGTCTGGGATCTGAACTCTTGGTCTGAGGACTTGGAGAGATGGTATATAGATCCCTAAATCTGAGAAGAGATGGGACTCCGGGTGCTAGGCTTGCACCTGGTGCCCAGAGGTACCCCGAAGGGATATAGATGTTGTTCTAACCCTCTTTCCTGAGGCCTGCAACGGGAACTAGGAGTGTGGTGGGAGCTGGGAAACTCTGAGGGCTCAAGGCTGAGGCCACAGCATGTCTGAGGCGTGGTGGGGTGTCTGACCAGGGCTGTGCCGAGTCTGCAGTGATGAATGACCTCAGGAGTGTGGCCGGGAGTGGGGAGGGGAGAGGGTGCTGGGTGTGGCCCTGAGAGTGGAACTAGATCTAGAAGGAAGCTCAAGGGGCCTGTCCTCACCCTGCTTAGGTCTTTGGCTGAGCATTCCTGAGCTCTGACCTTAAACGCTGCTGAGTCCTTCTGGACTCAGTGCCCTTACATCTCTTAGGGTCTTCCTTTCTATTATTCCTTCTTTCCTTTCCTTTCTATTATTACCTTTTTCCTAACCACGGGCAGTAGGAATCATGCTCTCCCCTCTTCCTTCTAGTGTTTGTGGCAGGACAGTATCCCGTTTTATTTTTTTATTTTTAAAGACAAGGCCTTGGTTGGCCTGAAATTCTGGAGACCTGGCTGGCCTTGAACTCCCAGAGACCTGCCTGCCTCTGCCTCCTGAGTGCTGCGTATGGGGCTGGGCCTGGCTTCCCAATAACTGATCCCGGTGGGATCTCCCAGGTGCACCGAGGGCCCTAGCACTGACCAGGGAACCTACATTTACTGTACCTATTCTCTGGACTCTGGCTTCAACTAGTTGCTCTAGTTGCCAGAGAGAATTTCAACTCAGCATGAGTTTTCTAGCCTGGATGGAGCCAGGGGAGCGATGTGACGCTCAGCAAGGCGAATTTAAGGAGTTTTAAAGGAACCCGCTCTCGTGCACAGAGTCTCATCCCCTAACCTGGATCCCACCCTGTGTTAGCGGTTGAACCCAGTACCTCACACTTGCTGGTCAAATACTCCCTACCTCACCATCACCCGTTCTTCTCCCTTTATTGGATTTTGGGTAGTGGTAAACTCCCGCTATGGGGTTCAGGAAAGCCTCAGATTTCCAATTCTGCCTCTACCGGTGTTTTGGAATACAGTCCTGCTCTACCAGGCCAGACTCATTCCGTTATTGGAGGTATTTAATTTTTTAGTTCTTAATTCCAGCACTCCAGAGACAGAGGCAAGTCCAGTCCGGTTTACATAGCAAGTTCCAGGACAGAGACGGTTACACGGCAAAAGCTTGTCTCAAAATGTATTTTTAAAGTGCATTTATTTTTGCAGAGGGTTGGGGGCGCACATACCACAGGGCACGTGTGGAAGTCAGAGGACAACTTGTGCGAGTCCGTTCTGCCGTGCTACCAATTCACACTTTTCCAGGAACCATAAATCGGTTTTTTCCGCCCCTCCTAGAACCCAGGATTCCCCTCCACACGCACACGCCCAGTCTCTAGCTAGGGTGTCCCGCTAGGAATAGGGGCGGGCAGCCTCTCGGAGGCTGGGGTCTTGGCACCACCTCCTGGACCCTGCCACATCGCGGTGGCTGAGGCGACTCAAAGCCCTTATAAGGAGCGTAGACGCCGGCCTGGCTGGGCTTCCTGCCCTGACAACCACCGCCCAGGGATCTCCCTCCCGCTTACTGCTGGGCTGGGGCTGGGTTAACAGCACTCAAGCCCCAAGCGGGCCTGAGGGCGGGCCCTTTGTCCACATTTGCTTCCACCCCGCCCACGCAGCGAGTCCTAAGAGAGGAAAAAGAGGGGCGGTGCTTCCTTGGGGCAAGCTCTGGGTCTTCGCTGCGGGGCTTGCTTGCCAAGTATGCGTCCCCACCGGGAGATAATGTCCCAGCTGTCTAGTCTAGGGCTCCGGGGTCAGGGTGCTGCAAGGGAGGACTGTCTGAGTTCCGCCCTGACTGCCTCTCTCCTCCTCCAGGGCTTCTGATCAGCCTTTTCCAGGTGTGCAATCCTATCCGCCTTCGGAGCCGGAACTTTCTCTTTCCTGTCCTCAGTTAAGGCTGCAGGTGAGTGTGCTAGTGGCCCTATTTTCTAGTTCTCGAGGGTGGGGCGGCTAGGGTCTGGACTTAACAGTTCTGTGGTTGAAGGGCTTGAGAGGGGGTGTTCAACTTTAAGGGAAGAAGGCTGGGGTTCAGGACCTGGAGTCTTTAAGAGAGGAGTGTTTACAGCCCTGTTGTGAGTCTAATGGAGGAGCGCCTGCGGCCTGGACCCCCCTGAGTCATGCGAGCTAGCGGAGTGCCTAGACACTGAACTGAGCTAGAAGAACTGGGGATTCCTGGGTGTAACTAAGGAAGTTTGGCCAGAATACTGAACTGGATCTACCGGAGGAGAGGGCTAGTGGGTCTGGATCCCTGGGTATGAGGGAGGAAGGGAATGGTGCCTAGATCCCTAGATCCTGAGAAAGGAGGGACCTGGTAGGTTTCCAAGGGTGGAATCAGAGGCATCTGGTGTGCCTAAGAAGTTGTATCCAGGAGCTGGCTCCTGTGTACTTTGGGAGATGTTCTGGGACGGTGTGAGCTCCCAGAGGTTAAAGCCTGCCCTTTTGTCTCTGCATGGGCCTGACCTTAGCCTGACTTTTCCTGAGGGGAAAGTTATGAATAACTTAGGCCCATCTCAGAGCACAGGATGACAGCCTGGCTGCACAGTGCTGATGCACACCTTTAATCCCAGCCCATGCAAGGCAGAGGCAGTCAGATCTCTGTGAGTTCGAGGCCAGCCTGGTCTACATAGTTCCAGGACAGCCAGGGCTACATAGAGAAACGATGTCTCATAAAACAAAAACAAACAAACAAAAAATAGGAAGATAGACCTAAGAAACCTAAGTTAACCCAAGTGCAAATTAGTGAGCTGCCTCCCCAAATATTTAGGGGTATCGGCTGAGAGGTCAGACAGCATCCTGAAGAGGGCTCTGGCATCTGGTTCCAGTTCTGAGTTTCTAGGACAAGGAGATATAAACTATGGTTTGTCAGTGGAAAAAGAGGTTAGTCCTTCTACTCCCATCCCATGTCTGGATCACATGAGATACTAGAAGGCTGAGAGACCTGTCCTGAAGTCCAACCCTACATGACTGACCTTGAAAACTAGAGATTTCCTTGCATGGAGCTGAGCCACTGAACATTAGGAATAGAGGGAGTTGGTTTTTCCTGAACTTGAGATACCTGTTAGCTGATTCTCTGGAGGAAGCGATAGCCTCAGCGATAGGAAAGAGGAAACTGAGCTGTCTTTGATTTTTCCAGGTCAGAGGTAGGATTAGGGGAGGATGGGTGAAGTTTGAAGGGAGGGGAGAAAGAAAGCTTAATGCTCCAGATCAGGGATCTCTGGGAGATGATTGAGTAGGATGGTTAGATGTGGGAGCTGGGATAGAAGTTGGAATATTGGCTATGTAGGGTCTGTTAATGTCTAGGTTGCTTTTGCACAAAAAAAAAAAAATCTTTTCACGAGGCCTAAAGTATGAGGAAGCTGGAGTCTTGGCTATGGAGAAGTTAGAAATCACTGAGTTGCTGTAGGGTGAAAGGGGGAACTTTGTTCACAAGCCCTGGGGTATAAAGCCGTATGTCAGACACAGGAAGAGTGACAAACCAGCAGGATCTTAGACCATAATGATCATAAACTTTTCGTTGCTGGGTGTTTTTTTGTTTTGTTTTGGTTTTGTTTGTTTGTTTGTCCAGACAGGGTTTCTCTGTGTAGCCTTGGCTATCCTGGTGGACTCACTTTGTAGACCAGGCTGACCTGGAACTCACAGAGATTCTCCAGCCTATGCCTCTGGAGAGCTGGGATTAAAGGGGTGTGCCACCATGCCCAGCTTTCTTTTGGTTTGGTTTGGTTTTGAGACAGTGTTTCTCTGTGTAGCCTTAGCTGTCTTTTTTGTTATTGTTGTTTTCTTTGTTTGTTTCCTGCAGAATCTAATTTGGTACCCCAAGCTAGCCTAGACTTTACTATGTAACCCTTACTAGTCTTTATCTCATCCTCCTATGTCAGCCTCCCAAATGCTAAGATGACAGGTGTGCACCTCTACACTTGGTTTACACAGTGCAGGAATCAGATCCAGGGCTTCCTGAATGCCAAACAAGTGTGTTTTCAAATGAGCCACATCCCCAAGACCAGTCTTAAGTGTTATGTTTGGCGTGGGTCTTATGTGCACATGAGGAGGTCAGAGTGAACTTGGAGGAGTTGGCTTACTCCTTGCATCAGGTGGGTCCCAGGGATCCAACTCAGGTTTTCCAGCATGGCAACAAATGCTTTTATCCACTGAGGCATCTCACTGGCCCACCCTACTCCAGTGAATAGGTTGCTGAATCCCCGGGAAAGGAAAGCAAGTATTGCTTTGGGTGTCCAGATTCTGAGTTCTCTCATCCATAGGGCTAGGGTGAACCTAGAACCTAGATGACCAACTCATTTTTGTAGTTTACAGACAAGTTCAGCATTTTGAGGTACAGCCTGTTCAGAATTCAGAGAAATTTATTCCAAGATGGATGAGGGGCTGGGTGCCTGCATCCCTCGGTGTGAGACCTTATCCAGATGCTTTTGTATTTCTTAGCCATGCCGGTATCAGTAACCCGCACAACTATCACGACTACAACGACATCATCCTCCACCATCGTGGGGTCCCCTCGGGCACTGACACAGCCTCTGGGCCTCCTCCGCCTCCTGCAGCTGATAAGCACCTGTGTGGCTTTCTCCCTGGTGGCCAGTGTGGCCGCTTGGACAGGGCCCATGGGGAACTGGGCAATGTTCACCTGGTGTTTCTGTTTTGCTGTGACCCTCATCATCCTGATCGTGGAATTAGGTGGACTCCAGACCCGCTTCCCACTGTCATGGAGAAACTTCCCCATCACCTATGCCTGCTACGCCGCTCTCTTCTGCCTGTCATCTTCAATCATCTATCCTACCACCTATGTGCAGTTCATGTCCCACGGACGTACCCGGGACCACGCCATCGCCGCCACTACCTTCTCCTGCATTGCCTGTTTGGCTTATGCCACCGAAGTGGCCTGGACTCGCGCAAGGCCTGGTGAGATAACTGGCTACATGGCTACCGTGCCAGGGCTGCTCAAAGTTTTTGAGACCTTTGTAGCCTGTATCATCTTTGCCTTCATCAGCGAACCATCCCTGTACCAGCAAAAGCCAGCCCTGGAGTGGTGTGTGGCAGTCTATGCCATCTGCTTCATACTGGCTGCGGTGACGATCCTGCTCAACCTGGGGGATTGTACCAACATGTTGCCCATCCCTTTCCCCACCTTCCTGTCAGGCCTGGCCTTACTGTCTGTCCTCTTTTATGCCACTGCCATTGTGCTCTGGCCCCTCTACCAATTTGATCAGAGGTATAATGGCCATCCCCGCCGCTCGTTGGATGTAAGCTGCACTTACACGCACCCCCACTCAGTGTGCTCCTGGGACCGCCGACTGGCGGTGGCCATCCTGACAGGTGTCAACCTGCTGGCATATGTGTCTGATCTGGTGTATTCCACCCGCCTGGTGTTCGTCAAGGTGTAAGATTAACAAGGGGCTCCTGTCCACATTCCTCCTTGCAGCATCTTCACCTGATTACCCAAGTTTTTGGTACCATCCTGTTTCCTCCTTGTGTCCCTCCCATTTCCTCTCCTGTTGTATATATGTATTCTTCCTGACTCATTGTTCTCTTTTTGTGTTTCTTTTTCACCCCTTTCTTACCTTTCCTCTTCCAGTATGCCTGCCCATATCCTGGTTTGCCCTTGAGCTTTGGCTCCACAGCCCTCTTTCATTTTCCTATCTGATATTGTTTTCCTGTTGGTTTTGTCACCTGCCTGTTTTCCTGGGAGCCCTTAGAATTCTTGCTTTCTCTCCCTCACCCTTCAAAGGTGCTGGCCCACACATTTCCCACACTCCTTTGCAATTACCCACACTCTTTTACAGTTCTTTACCCCATGGGCCTCTTTAGGGGCCATATTGCCAAAGCATGCCTGCATGCCTGCCTGCCTTAGCTGTGCCTTAGTGTGTGTGTGTGTGTGTTAAAGGGGCTGGAGGAGCAGGCCAAGTGCACCTCTCCTTTCAAGTTCAAAACAAAATTGTGGAGGTCAGTAATCTCCAGTGGTCAGAAGTGGTCACTTTACAGTCTCCGCCTCCGCCTGTGACTCAGCTGTGCCTCAGATTGGCTCTAGAACATTTTTTTTTACCAGTCTTACCAAAAGCCCACTGCCTGAAGGTTATCTTAGATGAAGCAAAAGATGGATGCCTTTTCCTGAATTATTCTCTGCTATACAAACAAACTAAAAACCCACCAAAAACACCATATGGTTCTAACTCCAACTCTAAAGTATTTCAGAGGGGCAGTAATGGTGGCCCTCCTAGCTCAGTGTTAAAAATAACATGGCCTGCTTTAGCAGGAGTGAGAAGAAAAATGGCCTCTGCCGGCCTTAAAAGCATTATTATCCTCTTTTTCCTTTTTTCTCAACAAGAAGACAAAAATAACTAAGATGCTCTTTTGCTTTTTGTTTACTTTTTTAAACAGCTTTTGAGATGGTCTTATGTAGACTAAGCTGGCCTCAAACTTAACTGAATAGCCAAGGATGCCCTTGAACCCTTAGTCTTCACATCTCGACCTGCCAGGTGCTGAGATTACAGGTGTGCCACTACACCCCAGTTGTGTAGCCCCATTTAAGAGGGAAGTTTCTTAAGCATCTTTTCTTTGGGGGGGAGGGTGGCGTCAGGGTTATCAAGCTTGGAATGGCTTGTGTGTGTGAGTGTTGCACAAGAACCCAGATCTGTGTGTGTTAGTTGCTTGCTGCTTTCTGCTTCTCTGGGACTCACATGCATTACTTGGTATATACATATATATATATATGTGAATGTATAAATATATATTTTATTTTTTTTTAATTTCCTGGAGCTTTGGGTTCCTATAGCTCCTGCTGTCAGTCATCCCTTCCCACTCCCCACATCCATAAAGTTCTTAAAAAAAAATCTCAATATAAATGTAACAGGAAGACTCATGCCTTCTTTGTCTCATGGTGGGTGGGTGGGAGGGAAGGCTCCAAGAGAGGGGTGAGACTCAGGTTCTTCAGTATGATGTCCGAGTGGGGTTGGGACTAAGATAACCTTGGCTTCTTCAGAAAACAATGGCAGAGCCAGGATTTCCCCCTCCCCTTTTAAGACTGTCTCGCTGAGGTTGGCCTCAGACTCACTGTGTAGCCAAGGATATCTTTTAAGAAGATATCCTTCAGTGCTGGAATTACAAGCATGAGCCACCACACCCCGTTATGCAGTGCTTGGGATGTGCTAGGCAAGCACTTCACTGAGCTGTGTACCCTAGTCATCTGTGTTATTTTTGAGCTCAGAGGTAGGTTAGAAGCACATGCTTCAGCATCATGAGAACCAGGGTTTGGATCCCAGTACCCATGAAAGAAGCTAAGCATCTCACATGTGTGCAACACCCCTGTGGTGGTGGGGGGAGGGCACGGGGTCACTGGGGCTCTCTGGCTTCCTGCCTTAGATGAATAGGCAGAGTGAAGGGCACACATACACAGAAATTTCAGGATCATAAAATCCCCTTGGTTGCACAAAAGTAACTTGGAGAACATTTGCAAGGTTTGGAAGTTAATGAAAAAATAATAAAGGAAGGACATGTTTGCTCTTAGGTATGGTGGAGATTTATTGTAGATAAAAGGGAGAGCATAGCCAGAGGCAGGGACATCTGGGAGTGTCCAGAGTGAACATGACCTGAAGTAGGCCATGTGAGGAGAGTTGGGAAGGGAGAGGGGAGACCTAGGAGACCAAAAGGCCAGGAGGGTAGTAGGCACACCAAAAGGGCCAGGGAATCATAATGGCTGGGTTATATAGAAAAGAGCAACTGGAGGAAGGGCAGCCCAGCCCCTGGGCTGGAGAGGTTTAGGGTAGGGGGTGGGCTATGCCAGCCATACTCTGTAACAGGCATTGAGGGATTCTGGGAGAACCTGGCAGCCAGGTCCGCTTGGATATGTTAAATAGGCACCTCAATTAACCATTTGTCCCTGGTTTGAGACCTAAAGGGAAGTATGTGGGAGAAGGATCGCGAGGACACACGCTCATGGGGTGGGAAAAGTCTTACTTCTTCAACCAGGACCTATCTACATGAATCTCTCTTCTCAGGAGGGTATCACACCCACTCCTTCCCCTTCCCGGTTTAAGAGCAGCTTCTGGACGGCACCAGAAAGAACAGCTAGAGGGAATATGGATCAACTGGCAGAGTGCTTGCCCAGGAAACACAAGGCCCTGGGTTCAAATCCCCAGCACCTGAACATCCCTGCCCCTACCTTCAACCCCAGCTGTGGTGATACATGCCTGTAAACCCAACTCTTGGAAAGGGGAAGGCAGATCAATCTCAGACGCAGGTCATCCTGGATTACCTAGCAAGTCTGAAGCCAACCAGAAATATATAAGACCCTTATATTTATAGTTTTTCAGACAGACTCTCACTGTGTAACCCTGGCTGGTCTGGAACTTGCTATGTAGATCAGGCTGGCATCAAACGCACAAGAGATCTTCCTGCTCTTTCTGGTATTAAAGGTATACAAGCCCCTGTTTAAAAAAAAAAAAAAAAAAACTAACTACAGCTGTCCCATCTAGCGGTCTGCTGTATTAACTCAGAAGAGCAGCAGAGGAAGAAGCTGAGAACCACAGGTACCTTGTGGGGTGGGCAGGGAACTCTGAGTTCGGAGAACGGTGCCGGGGATTGACTCTAATTCCTCCACCTCCTTTGCACCTTCTAAAATCCCGACCCCAGGGCCAACGAAGAGAACCGCAAAGAAGGCGTGGTGCTGTAGAGACACCCACCACCGCTGCGTCCCGCTTTAACACCCAGGGCACGCCGGGAGGAGTAGTTCGCCGTTCTGTCCCAAGAATAGCCTACACGAGGGCCTCAACTATAAGTCCCAGAGTGCCTCTGGGCGGGCTAGGGTTCCCCAGAACGGCATTCTGCCAGAATGGGCTCATTGGAGTGTCAGAACTAGGAGAAAGCCGCAGCGCTGGGCGTGATCTGGGGGAGGAAAGCTGTGTGTGCGCATGGAAACTCCCAGGGAGAGACTCAATTGGAAGAAGCCCTAGGTGGAGAGCCACAGGGAAACAGGAGAGAACCCTAAGACAGAGTCAAGAAAGACACTCAGACTCAGATATAGAGTCACAGGGATGCGGAGGGGGCAGGCCCTCAGAGATGGAGAATTACAGGGAGACAACGACAAGGGAGAGCCCTCCCGAGACGCCCTCCCGAGACGGAGAGCTGTAGGGAGAGACACATGGAGAGAACCCCCTGAGACAGAATCACTGGAAGAGGAGGGTCGAGATTCCCCCAGAGACAGTCACAGGCAGACACAGAGAAGGGAGAAATTCCCAGAGACCGTCACAGGGAAACGCGCATAAGGGAGAGACCCTAGAGAGAGACTCACAGGGGGACAAGGAGGGAGAAGAGACCACTTGAGACAGCGTCACAACAATGGGGAGGGATTCCCAGAGACAAACAGAGTCACAGGATCAAAAGCAAAAACTCTGAGTGGATCTGAAAGAGACGGACAGAAGGACAGACACACAGGGAAAGAGGGACAGGCAAGGATTCAGAGGAGCACCCCCTAGCGACAAAGGGGAGACATACAGAAGCAGAGTGACGGACGTCGGGAAACAGTAAATTTAACTGCCAGAGGTGAAGTACGCAATACAGATTAGCGAAGACCGGGAAAGGCAGGGAGATGGAAACGAAAACATTTCCAGTGCACCGTGTGGGGCGTGAGGAGAGACGTGAGTAAGAAAAGGAGTGAGGCAGAGAGGGGAAAGTGAAGAGAGAAAATAGGAGAGGAGAAAGAGAGGAAAAGAGAGACAAGAGAGAACAGAGAAGGCAAGCGAGGAGAGACACGCCCAGAGGGAGGCAAAGCAGTAAGTCCGGAGGCTCGGAGAGCGATAAAGAACCCGGAGCGTCACGGAGAGTGAGACACTAGCCTCCATGTTCGCCAGAAGTCCTGAGCACTGAACACAAAGTTTCTCCATTAGAAGAGTAATATGACCGGAGACACACAGATCTATGCCAGATTCAAGAGCCCGACAAGACCTACCCATGCAACTGAGTGGGGGAGGAAGATGGGTGTGGGGGCCAGGATGACAGATTGGAATGAGAAAGGGGGTGGACAAGGCTCAGGGGACGTCGCCTCCCTGCACACAGCCGGCGGAATGGATGTGTCCACGTGGAGAGGAAGGAGGGGCATCTGTCCAGGGCTGGGGGGGGGGTCCTTTAAGATGAAACCCCGCCCTTTGGTCGTCATGGCAACGCCTCTCCCCCACCCCCGACTTCTACATTTCAGCAGGTGCCGGGAGCCGGAGCTCCTGCCGCCGCCGCAGCCACCGGTGCCTGCGGCTTCTCCGTGCCCCTGCCTTCTGCTCTGACCCCACCCGCCTGCTCCCCGCTCGGTGCAGGCCGTGCCCGGGAGCTGCTTTCTGCTCAGTGCCGCGCACCGTTAGGTGCCTCGTCCCTGTCCTTCCCCATTTCGTAGTCTGCGGAGTCCCCCTTTCCCCGTCCACCTGTTTCCTCAGAAAAGGGGCCGGGATCGTGATCCCTGCTGCGTTCCTGGGGCCATGGCGGGTCTCGGCCCTGGCGGAGGCGACTCAGAGGGAGGACCCCGACCCCTGTTTTGCAGAAAAGGGGCGCTGAGGCAGAAGGTGGTCCATGAGGTGAAGAGCCACAAGTTCACCGCTCGTTTCTTCAAGCAGCCAACCTTTTGCAGCCACTGTACCGACTTCATCTGGTGAGGGAAGTGGGCTTGGGGAGAGGGCTGGGGGAGGAGGGAACTTGAGGGACAGTCATGTCACACTGGCCCCCAAACCATTGATCAGAGAGGGGCTGCAGCTTCCACTCCTGGACTTAAGGGTAGGGGCTGGGGAAGCCTGGGTTCCTGGGTCTGAGGGAGGAGGGCCCGGAGCTAGATTTCAGGGTTTAAGGGAAAAGGATATGGGACTAGAATTTCTGGGTTCTAGAAGAAGGTAACTGGGACTTAGACACCTGGGTGAGGATGGGAACCCGCAAACCTGTGTTTTGCAGAGGTGGGAGGGCCCGGGCCCCCCGTTTTGCACTGACCTTAGATTCCCTGACTCTTCCAGGGGCATTGGAAAGCAGGGTCTGCAATGTCAAGGTAAGAGCTGGGACCTGGACTCCTGGGACCCCCCGCGGGTGGAGGCTGGGGCCTCAGAGCTAAGGCGGCTAACACACGTGTTTTGTGGTCCCCAGAGAGGCGCGGGGGAGCCCTGGGCGGGGGGTGTGGCAGAGACACAGCCTGTGGTGGGGAGGAACTCTGATGGCAGGGCCACCGCGGAGGTGGTGCTGGGGGCCCCTCCCTCGGCCGGCTCCAGGTGGGGACAGATATTTGGAGAATCTGTTTCCATGGGAACAGGGAGATTTGGAAAAGGGGAGCTGAAGGGGGAAGGGGCTCAAAGATGCAAAGTCAGAGCCCCCCCCCCCCACTGCCGTTGCTATGACAACACCATCCATCCTAAAGCAGGGGCAGGCCGGGTGGGGTCACTAATGGGCGGGTGGGGGCCGGGCGAGGGGGGGCGAGTCCTAAAACACCAGCTGCCACTTGACTGAGAACAGAGTGACTCAAGGTGGGGGGCGGGCCGGAGCAGCACCCCCAGACTCACTTCTGTTCAAGTTGATGCTCTCTGCTATGTTTAAGGATATTTGTTGTTTCTCTTCAAAACCTGTCACCCTCTCTCTTTCTCCTTGCTTCTCTCTCTCTCTCTGTGTGTGTGTCTCTGTCTGTGTGTGTTTGTGTGTATATGCACATTGGGATTTTGTCTTTCTTCAAGTCTGTCTCTTGGGCTTCTGGGTCCTACTTTCTCTGTTTCTGTGTCTGTCTCCAAACGGCTCTTGGTCTGGGTCTTCCCTCTGATTTTCTCTCCATTGGATTCTCAATGTGGGAATTCCTCTCTCTGTGGTTTTCTCTGGGCTGGAATGGATGGCTCTGATTTGGG